AACTTTAAAACACAGTACAGGATAGCATCTGTTATTAATAACATAAAAAAGTAATAAATTGTTTTTATATTATTATCAGAGATACTTTTCTGTAAAACGATCAATACCAGCCTGATAATAAAAATATCATGAAGATGCATGTAGAAATATGTGAGCAATGTGTATGTAAGATTTCTGTTCATACAGTACAAGATCTAATGTTAAAAACTAAGCTTGTTACAATACCGTACAGTATGTGCCAGTTGTACACAAAATCATTGAGTTATTACTCTTCACTTGACAAAACCTAAGACGCATATCTCATTTAGCACTGGTGAGTTTGCAAAGCATGGTTTCACGATTTAATATTAATTGCACCACTGAGTTTAGGGATACAAAATACACAAAAGGTTTATTCTGTTCAAGAACGTAAGGCCTTTCAAACTGAACAAATCTGCCTATTTGTAATATTCTGCAGGTATTTTTACTTTAGCATACGACGTGTTCGGTGTGGGACCTAACCTAGCCCTTGTGTGGTTGCACTGCATTTTAAAATATTGAACTGAAACACTGCAAAGTTCTTCAAAGCTTGAAAGTTATAAGATTTAACTGCTACAGTTGAACCTTTTGAAAAATTGGCTCCAACTGACTGAATGCTAATCCACTGAAAGACTAGCGGTTAACAAAAACTGAATACCACAGACGACATGTTGACTAGCAGGCGTACACCCACATTTAACAGCTTTTTCAAGAGCTTCAACAAGAACTGAAGCTAAGAAGTCGGAACAGCACCTCAGTGCTTCTTCCCTCACATGTAATGAGGAAAACGTAATTTAAATTTTAAAAATTCCCAAAGTGCTGTATTATTAACTTTTAAGGTTTCTGTACACACTTTCTGGCAAGAATTTAAATACATCTCTTTGACAGATTCTGAAGCACTATTGCTATAGCTAAGGCTGTAGAAATTTTCAAAAGGTGTGATTCCCAGAGCTTTTCTAATTAGGATATGAACAAATTGTTATGTCTGCATTCTGAATATAACATAAAACTAAATGATAAAAATGTGCACAGTGAAAAGACTAAATAAATCTCTACGCACAGCAAACAGATAAAGGTTCAATTATTCTTAAATTTTCTAAACATATATTGATAGGATAGCGTTTTAATGTTCTAAACCTGAGGTATTAATATTACAAAATCTTATGTGCCCAGTACGCATTTTGTAGGAAAAATATATAAGAAAATAATCCTTATTATGGAATAAGGTGCTCAGAAAGTCTGAGTTGGTGTCCCGCTTCAGTTTTCCATACTGGAATCATCCTTATTCCTTAATAAACTGTAGTGTGTACGCCAAAGTGAATTTGTACTTACAGGCAGTGCAAACTGAGTGCCTGCCTCTTCCGGCTCTGCCAAAGATTTTGATCAAATGTGACAACTTCATTTCTACGAAAATGTAAAATTATTTTTAATCTGAAATTCTAGCCAAAAAACGTTTTGCCCTATCCAAAGTTCATGAATCTTAATTCTTCTGCAGTGTACACATAGCTGTTAAATGCTTTCAGATACTAACAGAGACTTTTTCACTGGTACCTAGGCTGAAACTACAGTGTCGCGCGGGGACCCAGGCAGTACCTAACTCTGTGTGATCATACAGAAACACAGTCACAGTCACACGTACTCTTCTGTGTTCCTGTGTGTGCGTGTGTCTGTATCGATGAATACAGTAAATGTAGTGTATGGTTTTAGCAACAGTTTGTGTATGCCCTTTGCTTGTGTGGTATTGACCTATCTCAGCTCTAAAATGCCAAAGCAACCTCTGAGAACATTCAGAGTTCATGAAGGCCCTGAATCCAGATCGACTAGCAATAGGTGCTGAGAAAACGATTACGTGGAAATTATTTTACCTTTAAGCTCACTTCCTTTCAATTACTTAAGCAGATGCAAAATGAAATAGTATGGAAGCTGTTATGCTTGCATTTTCCAAAAGCTTGACAGCAGTTTGACGGCCTTGGTGAGATAGTGAAAGATGTATCTGTATACACACACATATATATGCATAAACCATTAAACATGGAAGTCTGAGAATACTGTATCCCTATATTAAGACCCTCTGAACACAGCATTAAATACCAATTTAGCCAACATATAGTCAAAGGGTATGTTGTCATAAGATATAATAGAAGAACTATAAAGGTTGAAAAATCATGATTCTGTAACTGTCACAGCTATTCTGTTCGTATTGCTTTGTTTAAATGTCCTGTTCTCCAGAAAGCAACATTTCTGGTGTGTTACAATGCTGACACTTACATGTACAGTTATACACAGCAATTAGGAAAAGCTTAATTGAAATATGCCCTTTATGAATTGTTTACATCTAACTATATTTTGTTTATTGCTTTTTGTTTGCAAAAAAATTATTTCTGCAAAACTAATTACATTCCACTGTACCTTCCATGATGAATGTATCCTTTTGTGTTATTCAACGATGTATCAGAATACAAAAAGCATAATTTTGAAGAATAAAAAGACAAAAAGTGATTATCCTATAAATTAAAGGATAGTGTGTAGAACAGAATGTGCAGAATACACAGTACTAACCCAACACAACACAAAACAGATTTGAGTATGATTACATCATACACTTCTGTTATGAATTATCTGGATTAGCCTACTATGAGACTCCATGTAATCATGGTAAAACGCTTGAAAAATATTGATTTCACTGATTTTAAACGATTCCCTTAAGTTTTAAACCTATTCCCTGTAGAAGCTGTAAAACTTCTTCCAGCCCAAACAGTTCAATATCAATTAATACACTGCATTTTGCATAAACTCCTTTCCAGAAGATTTCAGTAAAAAAAAAAATACAATGAATGGAATGAAAGACGTGTGCTCGCCGTTTGTAACTAATGTGGTTAACAAAATATAACAGAGGAAAGCACAACAAAAATAACTGTATTCAAATGTCCTTCATGTTTATGTAGTATTCAATTTCAAAATTCGGTTGCAAAAAGAGGGAATCAGCGCTTTTCTCATAAAATGTCTGCGTTTCCTGTGCCTACCTCTCTACCTTTAGTTTCTCATTGTGCAACCTTGCCCGCACCTCAGCGTGCAGGGATATGAAGACACTTCGCTCTCACTCGCTGTTCCGGCAGGCGTAGGCTCCACTTTATTGTTATAAAGATTAAATGTAGTAATGATGTGCCCGTGTGCTTCATCTTACAGCACACATGAACAATTAAAGAACAGTTTTAAGACGATGTGCGTGTATTATCGTCCTATACATGTTATTCATTTAAGACCTTTAATGAAATACTGCGACCACTGAGATAGATTGAATGAGTCCTTCAAGGAAAGGAGCTCTCTTTAGAGCAGCTAAAATGCGGGGTTTATTTTCAATCTTGCTTTAAGCATATAACTGAATTACACTGGTTAAACAAATTGTATGATTAAACTCTGAAATCTGAATATATATACAAAAATATTACATGCTTACGAATTACTTGTCCAGAGAAAGCTTCAGATAAGATCAAATGAACGCGTACCGAATAAGGATTGTATAGTCCAATTTTCGCATTGCCTTCTTTTTAAAATAATGTACAAATATATAAAAAATAATAATAAAAAGACACAAACAATACCGTGGCTGTAAGCTGCAGCTGGCGGTGCTGGTGCGAGGTTTTCTGAACAGTGTATTTGTCAGGGGAGGAGAAAACTCCATAATATTTATATATTTAAATTCTGTTGTAAAATAAAACATAAATATTCCGAGATCCACCGTCTCGCTCCGAGTCAGCCTCTCGGCTGACGCGCCACAAACTTACAAGTAAGTTCATTTTATTTTTAGATTTTTTTGGGGGGGAATTTATTTTTAGTATTTTATTTTTACACATTCATGAAAATCGCGTTAGGTGTCATGCCCTACGTAGAATCACTTAAAAAATAAATACCCCTGGCTTTGGTCATACTTTAAAACAAAAAGCGGGCTTGTGGTCTTGGCATCGATGCCTAAAACCTGCACAGTTTCAGCAGCTCGTATTTCACATTAGTTACCCAGGGGCCAGGGCGAAGCGGAAAATGTCCACCTTCATATAGCTTTGCGTGTGTTGTGTTTGCGTGTGCGTCTGTGGGTGCATATCTGAGAGTAGGAGTGTGTGTGTATGAATTCATGCATGTACATGTGCGTTGTCTGTGTTACACAATTATGCAACTGCAAGAGGTGCTTTATCCATGCCATGCTAATCTTGCTCAAATCCAAATAATTGTTTTTTCCCTGTTTCTCACCAAATACTATTACACCGGCTTGTTTCATCCAGCAGAACGTGGTTTTCATTATTTTGCTATCTTATGAAAACGGCCTAACTCGCGCAACTACTGGACAATTTAAGTACCCTGCTTTTTTTCATTAATTATACTAACAAAAAGAAACGCTTGGTCTTTTAAAAGAGGTCCTCTGCACTGAGGACAAATTCCTCCTCCGTGATCATTAATACTCCCGAATGTACTTATTCTGGATACAAAATGAATAATTTTTAAAAGAAATCTGTCCGTCCCAACCACCCTTCAAAAATAACGAAAAGTATTTTTTTTAATCACTACAGTTACAATATCGAAAATCACCTGTTTTTTTTTTATTTATTTAAACAATTGCGACTTTTTTCTCTTGCAGTTAGGGGTAGTTCACTGCGACCATGTATCCTACGTCTTGGCCATCATAGCCCACACACAGTATACAGCAGTTCATGTCTCCTCTGTCGATTAACTTTCATAGATTTATTTTATTATCCTCATCTGCTTATGTTCGAATTCAGACGGGTTTTTTAGAATTACAACTCTTTAATGTTATAAGATACTCTTAAAATACACATGACAAAAACGTTTTTTTTTTACTTTGCTACGAATGAATACAGAAACAAAAAAAACTACCCTAGGATATTTATAACATACGTCTATTAATTCTGTAAATAATAAATACCAAAGGCTTCATTTTCCATAATTATAATGTTAAAAAATGTACTTACGTGTTATTATTTCTCTCTGTGACAAATGCTGTGGGTTTCCCTGCTTGCGACGGGACATTGCCCTGGCATTTAGATTGGCATCGCCCGGAGACCTATACACTGAAGAATCGCCTTGCTTCTTCCCCTTTCCGTCCACTTCGTCTTCCTTTCTTCTCCTGTAAGTTTTCCTGGGACTTCCTCAAAACTGGCACTGCTCCACCGCTTCGAGTGCCAGCTGGAGAAATCTGACTTTATAGGGGTCCCTCGGTCACAACTGACACTGTCTTTGCGTCTGGCTACAAAGTCCAGTACAGTCTCTCCCTGCTGCCTCAGACTCGGACCGCAAGAAAGCAGGACTTCACCTCCACAATTTTCTAAGTCACACCATGAGGCAAGGTGTACGGTCAGCAGAACCTCTCCGGGTTACAAAAACGCAAAAATATCCTCTTTCTTTTTTCTCTCTCTCTCTTTCTCAGGTGCCTGTGAATGACAGTTGTGTGCAGACCACTGCGAATGTCTTTCTATCTTTCTCAACAATCAAAACGCTCTGTGCACTGTGCAAGTACAGCGCTTGACAGCTACACCGAGCACCACTCTTCACCCAAACTGTGGATCTGGTGTTTGGTTGGCGAATATATACTTTTTGTCACACAAAAAATATATATTACAATAATAAAAAAAAAATCCAATGTCCTCTTGGCACTTGGTCTGCCAAGCGATGGGCACCTTCGCTCCTTGAGCACTGGCACTACCCGAGCGCGTGCAATGCCAATTACTTTTCAGGCTTTCCAACTCTTTGCACTTGCCCCCTTGTATGGCACGGAGGAAAACAGGGACATAGACTGCCACCTCCTTTCCAAATAAAACAAGACCTGCTGGCTTTTTTTTCTCTCTTTTCCTTTCACTGTGAAGATGGCGGAGTCCTGCTTCTCTGGGAGCTCTCTGTCTCTCTGTGGCTGGGGCTGCCTCTGTACAATGGGATAAAATTCAAGTTCAAGTGCGGACGTGACGTTAAGTCTACAGTGAGAAAGAAAAATTGGAGACTGAGCGAGACTGCAAGAGCACTGGGGGCGACTAGTGGTGGCTTTTCACATCGGATCACTTGAACAGCAGCTCAGTGTGGGTAGAGCTGATGGGCAGCGCGCCTCCGCTCACCCCTCGGAGTAAGAGAAGCCGCACACTGCAGCTCTGCGCGGTGATCTCCGCGCTGCGTGGCTACAGCTCCACAACACTCTGATGGGGTCACTTCAGCGCTAATTGAATGGAAAAGTTTTACAACACAATTTTATTTTGGACAGTATTCCAACACCTTGATGTAAGGTTCACCCTTGAGAAGTGAGAAGTGAAAGTGTCACACTACAAATACCAGGGCGATTTCCAGTTCAGCGGTTGCTGCAGTTGCCTATACGGTGCGATTAAAAACAGAAATACACATAATACTTTTTCCTTCTTTTTTTTGCGTGATGTTTTGCATTAGATTTTAACGGAAAGAGACTGCTTTACATATCAGATCATTAAAAATGAGTTCATTTGTGAGGATTGACACGGAACTGCCCTAAGGTTGTTATTCAATGGAAATGAAGCTAAGTGTTCTGTAAATGGGATGGGTGCAGTAGTTATTTCCAAATAAACTATATGTATGCATATATACACAAATATATATTCCTCATGCATCTGTATTGAAATCTGGTGTCTGGGGGAACGTCTTCTTCATTTTCATGACTTCTATATGTTTGATGTTCTGGTATTGACCTCACATTTGCTTTTGAAGCCTGAAAACAATTACAGAATTGTGCTGAAGAAGGAAGACCATCTCCAAATGGCTGCTATTCAGCAAGAAGATGAAAGGATTTTTAGAGATAATATAAAATGTTTTACTCTGCATACTAAAAAAATCACACCACAGTCCTTCCACTTTCTGTTTTTAATTCCTTTAACATTATAATGGTTTTATACAGATAAGATTCCTATGTTTCTGAGAATATTAAAAAGGTTAATTCTGCTTTGTGAATTAAAATACATTGCATTAATTACCTGGCATATAGCTGAAAAGCATGTATTAATTTTCCTAAAAAGCACTGATTTGCACAGATTAAAGACAATATGGAGAAGTAAATTTAATTGAATCATTTAAATGTGACTAGTATGGTATACTTTGAGCGGAAGAAGTGATTTGTGTCAAAAGCTGTGTATTTTTTGTATTTTCTTAAAATCAGAAACATTATATTATGACTTAGCCCCCTTTTAAATGAGAAACACTGAAAATGTGTATGTAAATTAAAAAAAGGAATTTGTTTCTTGTTTACCCTATTGACCACTTGGTTCTGTTGTTGTAAAAGTGTACTTTAAACATTTTGCACACTTTAGCCTAGCCTATTAAATATGTAATATATTTGTACTCCCAAAATGGTCCACCTGTCCAAAATCCTGTCAGTAATTTTCCATATCAGGTCCGGAGATCAGAAAGAAACAGATAAGTCATTTTTAACATCACAATCAAGAGAAGAAAAGCCTCACTGCAAACCAGTGAACCAAACTGATCAGAGATATTTCTTAATCTGTATTTAATTCTAAACTTTCTTCTTAAAGGTTGAAGAGTTCAGAAAGATACGATTCTTCTGTTTTCTACGTATGCGATGTTGCATCACGAGTTGTGACACTTCACTCTTCTGGATCTGGTGACTGGTGACAGGACTGGAGAGCGATTTGAACATTTTGGGGAAATACAGTATGTACAGACTGGTATGTGTCAGGGGTTCTAATGTAAAAAGTACTTACTTTAAAAGGTAAGGTGCTGTAATTTCACATCAGTGAGAGATGCCTGCCAAACAAATCTTCCAATACTATGCAGTTTCTATTGATTTACCATTGTGTAGTTGCTGGTGAGCTGCAGAGCTCAGTGTTAAAGTTTACAGAAGCTACATTTCCATTGATTGATTCTATCAGATCAAGCGGTGTCTGCGGTGATCCATCTTGTTGTGATCTATAGCGTGTGCTCCTGGTCAGCCCGCACACCCTTCTGCCCGGCTGTCTCTGTACTGCCAGCTAGCTGGAACATCCCAGGCATCTGTCATTGAGCTCATGAAAGCTTTGAGACAAACTACCTCATCCTTGAACCTTTTTATTTTCCCTGGGGCTGGATAGATTCACAGAGACGGCTCCTGTTATCTTTCTATTTTTATTATTGCTTATTTTCACTTTTTCTCTGAAGAAGTAATGCCTATTTGAACCAAAGCAAATGTAGCCAGTACTGCTTGTAGTTCAGGGAACAGAGGAGGAGATGCAAAGTTTCCCACTTATCAGTATCAATGAACTCCACCTTGTAAAATCTCGCTTCCCTGTTCTGTTTCTAAACTGTCTGTGTGTTTGAGCAAAGATTTTCCCTTCTCAGGGCCAGCGGCTCCCCCATCCCACCCCACAGGACTGGCCACCATCTGCGACAGCTGGAGCCCTTCAGCCAATACGAAACGTGATGTCTAAGCTCTTATCAGCTCATACTTCAACACAGTGGAAATGCAACTGCAAATGAACGGTTGCAGACAATTACAAATTCCTTAACAAAAGAGACTTTTGTGTTTGTTTCTCCTACAGTTTTGTCCAGTAATGTAGACCAGGAAAAACACTGTATCTGGCTAATGTCTCTCACTCTTTTCCTACTAAAAGTTTTCTTTTAGCAAACTCTTCAATCCCACACAGCATCACTCTGCTCTCCTGGTCCTGGTAGATCATTTTCAATTTTTGCCTAAACACTTTCTGCCTTCTGTTATCTTGACAAGACTGTAAAACTGAGTGGCAGATTTCAATATGTCCAAAGAGGGCTGGGTCAAACATGGCTTTGCTGTTCTGATCTCAGTTAGCCGTGAACTCAATTCACAAGAGGAGAGAGGTTTGAAATACTAGGAAATTATCCTGCTCAGCCTGGTTCTCTATATTCCCCAAATTTTGAATCAGTGTCTGAAAGTTTGTCTTTTTGCCAGGTGTTGTTGATATTTCAGATGATTTTGTCGTGCTAGCCATGAAATATGTTTTGAAAGCTGTAGTGGCCCACTGTTGTGATCAGATTTACATTAAATGATTCATGGGACTCAATTTGGTACATTCTTCCATATTGCCTTAAGTGGTCTCCTCTTTCTCAAATAAACAATCTTTTCTTCAAGGGTAGTTTTGGCTGAAGTCGCAGAAGCTTCACTTCTCTTTGTACCAGCTTGCCTTTCTGTGAGCCAACTGCTCCTTCTTCCTGCAACAGTAGGAGGTTATAAATAGCATCTTCAAGCTCATTTACGAATAAAGGAAGAAAAAGGGGGATTGCTTGTTCTTCCAAATGGTGTTTTTGTTATAGAAATAACAGAACACCCACACCTATTTGGAAAAGTGCTCAGGCTGGTTTGTCTTTTCAATACTCAGCTAAATGGCCAAGGTAAATCATTGTTATATTAACACACTTAAATCAGAAATTGAACGTACGTTTTGCTGTTAGTCTTGGATTGCTTAGTGTACTTTTTCAGGTTTATTTGGTTTTATTATTGTTGACACCAATTGTTTGTAAAGGACACATTTTGTCAATCAAGCAGCAAAGTTCACAATACTATCTGGACATATATAATGGATTTTCATTCTCAGCTAAGATGGTATCTTTAAAGATTCTTCTGAGTGAGATGGTTCCTATATCTAATGTAATCCTAGACCTTCACAGAATTATTTCTTCACCTTCAGCTCTTGAAGTGTCTCATTATCCTCTATTTGCCTGTTTCCTGTTTGGTTCATTGCTGATCTCTGAGATTTAGAGGGATGAACCAAGATATTCTGCTTTCAGAATTTAGGTACCAGTTTGTAATAAACGTATGTCACGTATATTTATATTAACCAAGAAGCAGGCTCCACAAACAGTAGCAATTATGGTAAGACACTTTGATTTTCTGCTTTTATCACCGACCACGGGCCATTAGCTTTTTCTGCTTCCAAAAATGTACAACAGCATTTATTTTGTGACACCAGTTAAACTGTGTACCAGTAAGTGGTCAAAGCACTTATACAGTATATTCTTTTTCAAAATGCTGAGCCACAGCGTCAGGATCTGCGCACTTCCAAGAGTCTGGAGAATGAAAACTCCAATTCACTTATTTACGGAATTTAGGGGGTCAACAAACCTGCATGCTGTTAACTATCAGCAAACGCTAAAGCATATTCGGATACAAACGTAAGTTTACCAGATTTACTGTATGTTCTCTATTTCATCACTGACTTTAACCTTTAAATTATTTTTAAAAAATATAGAATTATAACATCGCAGCCATTTTACCGCTTCCTCCTTGACCTAACAATTTTATTTTTGAGCCTCTGTGTTGCAAGATACTCAGTATATGTTTTTTCGGAAATAACACGTTTATAAATGACAAATCTACCATCGATAGACGCTGAAACACAGTCAAAACCTAAAGCAGACTGTACGTACATGTAAGTGCAATTTCAGAAACGGCTAACGGATCACTATTATAATCACAACGGTTAATTTATTGAAACAAGAATTAGGATTGGGCAGATTTTTGAGATTTTTATGTTTTATGAAGAGAAAAACTGAAAGTTAGCTACACTAAAGATTTGATTAAGAAGAAGTGAAATAGTTTGTCTAAGGTATAGTAGCACCTCCCATTACATCACTGTGTAATTATAAATTATCTTCTGAAAAACAACCTTATTCAATTGAATGCATGTGCAATTATGCTGGGACTCATTAACTTACAAGTAGGAACTCAGCGTTACTGTTTAGCATTTTACCCAAATATTACAATTAAATATAAAATATTTCATAATATAATTCAGATTTTATAATAACCGTCGTATACATTAAATGCTCCCATTTCCTAATTATCCTGAAAATAAAGTTGCTTTGAAAAAACTTGATTAAGGAAAATAACATTTCCATGTTAATTATGAATCCAGTTGCACTGCAGAATGTGTTAACAGCTTCTAAATAAATATGTCGTTAGCATTTTTTCTTTAAAAAGAATACTTTAATCTTTGATATTTAATGCTAATTGCTTTAAAGTTTTTAAGTCTTCAGATGTGGGAACTAATGCAAATCAGAAGTCCTTATACTGCAACATTTAAAAAACACGTTTATTTTTATTCATGTTGCCTCTACAATTTTAAATATTCATCTGAGGATTCACAGTGCATGTGTAGTGGCTGTCTCCACTCGGAGAGCGAGGTTAGTGCTTGCCTCATACAGTATTTTGGTATTTGTGCCATGGATTGTAATTCAGATTGCACGATATCAATTCAATAGTTCATTTTGAACGTATTAATTTCTTGGCCTCCTTATCACATGTACTTTTAATACAACAGTACCCTCTGTTGGCAGCCAGTTGTCACATGTAAATTATGACTTAGGAATTCCAGGGCGTGATCTT